AAAAAAAAAAAAAAAAGAGTCCCAGAATGTTTAGACCTTTTGACTGAGTTGCTTTCCTTTTTTAGTTTTTTCTTGAGACAGAGTTCTCACTCTGTCACCCAGGCTGGAGCGCAGTGGCGTGATCTCGGCTCACTGCAGCATCTACCTCCCGGGTTCAAGTGATTCTCCTGCCTCAACCTCCCGAGTAGCTGGGATTACAGGCGCCCACCACCACACTCAGCTAATTTTTTGTATTTTTAGTAGATACGGGGTTTCCCCATGTTGGCCAGGCTGGTCTTGAACTCCTGACCTCAGATGATCCTCCCGCCTCCCTGTCCCAAATTTCTGGGATTACAGGTATGAGCCACTGCACCCGGCTTAGGTTGCTTTTCTTCTAGGACTTAAACCTAAAGGTTTCGTTAGAAATTTGCAGGAATGTCACTAAAAAGGAGTGAACTATTGACCCATGCCACAATTTGGATGAATTTCATACATTAAATGAAAGAAGTCAGACTGAAAAGGCTGTACACTGTAGGATTCAATTTGTATGACATTCTGGTCAAAGCAAAACTTTATTTTTATTACTATTATTTTTTCGAGATGGAGTCTCACTGTGTCTCCCAGACTGAAATGCAGCGGCTTAATCTTGGCTCACTGCAACTTCCACCTCCTGGGTTCAAGCTGTTCTCCTGCCTCAGCCTCCTGAGTAGCTGGGATTACAGGCGCCCGCCACCACACCCGGCTAATTTCGTATTTTTAGTAAAGATGGGGTTTCTCCATGTTGATCAGGCTGGTCTTGAACTCCTGACCTCAGGTGATCTGCCCACCTCGACCTCCCAAAGTGCTGGGATTACAGGTGTGAGCCACCAAGCCCTGCCTATCACAAATATTAAGAAAAAAAAAATTAGAAAAACGAAACACCGCAAGGGAACCGTGGTCTGTGGTGATGGTGTCGGGGCATTTGTGTCACGCCCATCAAACGGTAACATTAACTAGTGCAGTTCTTGGTTATACCTCAATCGGTTATACACCGATTATACCTCAATAATGTGCGTTAACAAATAAATCTAACTCGGCCCTGGGCAATTGCTCATGCCTGTAATCTTAGCACTTTGGGAGGCCAAGGTGGGTGGATTCGGTGAGCTCAGGTGTTCGACACCAGCTTGGCCCACACAGTGAAACCCCATCTCTACTAAAATACAAAAAATTAGCTGGGCACAGCGGCACACTCCTGTAATCCCAGCTACTCAGAAGGCCAAGGAGGGAGCATTGCTAGAACCTAGAAGGCAGAGGTTGCAGTGAACTGAGATTGTGCCATGGCACCCCAGCCTGGGCAGCAGAGCGAGACTCCATCTCAACTCACTCACTCACTCAAATGGCTTCAGCAACAGAAGTGTGGTAGGGAGGGGGGAGCGCAGGGGTGGGGGCTGCGAGGCCTCCAGGCCTGGGGCCCCTGGTATCCTGACACCCACCCGCCTGGGCTCAGTAGGGGCCTGGGTTTCACGACCCCTCCTGGTGACAGGCGACATAGCAGCTCCCCCACTGCAGGCTCCCCCCGCCACCACATCCAGGAAGGGAGAGAGAGGAGAGAGAGGAGTGGGAGAAGGAAGAGGGGGAGGGGATGAGGGGATGCAGTGAAACAGAACACAGAAGTGAAATGTAAATATTTGGAAAATCTGGGTATCTGGGAATGTTTTGAGCAACTTTCCTGTAAGTCTGAAATTATTTCAAAATAAAAAAAATGAAGGGCTGGGGTGGTGGCTCATGCCTGTAATCCCAGCTGCTCAGGAGGCCGAGGCAGAAGAAGCACTTGAACCTGGGAGGCAGAGGCTGCAGTGACCCAAGATTGGGCCATTGCACTCCAGCCTGGGCAACAGAGCGGGACTGTCTCAAAAAGAAAGAAAGAAAGAAATGAGAAGAAGGTGGCATTTCTTGCACCACATTTGAGTTTTGCGTGTGTGTGTGTGTGTGTGTGTGTGTGTGTGTGTGTGTGTGTGTGTG